GTAGATCGGATATTCACTCAGCTGGAAGTGATGCTTCACGGGCTGAGAAATCGCTTTTCGATCAACTTGAATGCAGTCAAAGCCGCGACTTGCGGCAGGTGTTAAGTGTACGGAGCTACGCCGCTACGCCGTGGCGAGCCCGAAAACTTCTAGCCCTCATCCCAGCGCGCCACGGAGAGCAGTTTCTCCAGGAACCGTAGTATATTAAAACAGCAAAATAAAGGGTAGCTTTTTTTTTTTCGATTTTACTTACTATTGTTTTTTAATGCCGAAATTCCATACTGTAAATATACGTACTTTCCGTCACGATTTCGTACTGTTCAGTCCTTGCCCCAGAGCGCAATCGCTCTCGGGGACGAGACAATTCCGACAGTCACATTGGCCCCTGTACGATAGGAGCTTCTACTGTTCAGACCAGCGTTCCAACATGACTATCCGCACGTTGACCGATTGCACGTAATCCCTCAAGTGGTATTAAACTTTTTAATGTAAAGCGGAACGTCAACCTGCGACACCCCGCCCCCTCCGATTACGGCCCGACCAGCGGCATCAATGCCCAACACTTTACGATCTCATCTTCTTGCTACACCACTGATACGCGAACACACGGTCACATCGGCGATAATTCCAGTCTTCTGTTCACAACCCACAACACTGCCATCATGATGTTGCAGCTATGTTTCTGACACGCACAAACACAAAACCACGTTGAACGCCGGTTGCACTCGGCATCGGAAAACAGAACAGAACTCAGTGGGGAAGGCACCCAGGCAGCCGGCAGCGAAACCTGCCTGTCTTGGACGCAGTTCCTGCGGTTTCCATAACATCGAAAACGTCGACACAGAGGGGAGTTGTAGTAGGTCGTTTTTCCCCTCCGCTACGGTATCCCCGAATAAAAAGGCGCAGCTGCGCATGCGCGCCGCCAGCCTTCTCTGCATAGTTCAAGGTCTTGTGGCGGATTACGGAGCGCTTTCCGGGTGCTTAGGGAGCTGCATGAACGGTCTACTACAATTCCCTAATTCCGCGTGGTTTCGTTACTGTAGCACGGTAGTTCCGTGCCGATCAAGTCCCGCAATCCGGAGACGGCCATCCCCCAGTGTACGTGGCGCTGCTGGCACTGCTCCGGAACTTCGCTGTTTCCAGCGGCTTCGTTCGCTCGTTTGATAAAATTAGTGATAAAAACGTCAATGCAACCGAAATGTTCTGCACGTTTAGACTAGAAGACGGAACTACTGGCGGCCTTCGCTGCCGCTGAAGCTCAATCAACTCAGCAGCTATTTATTAAACAACGTGCGCGACCTGCTCGAAAAACGAAACCGAAGGACGATGAGTCGGGAGGGCGAAAGCTTTCTCCCGTCTGCCTGGAGAAGGAGAAAAACGTTTCTTTCCTACCCTTTTCTCGTGTCCGCTTGGGGGCGCGTCGGTAGGAGGGAGGAAGACGCGCCGTTGCTACTTTTTTCCTCCATTTTTTCTTAGAGTGTATGGCATACACTTGTACTCTATTTCACGGGATGCACCCTGTTTTCGTACCTCGGCACTTCAAATCAACTAAACTCTTGCGTGTACAAAATGCTGCTGTTAACGTTACAAGTTAGTTACTAGATCGTCACTAGATCAACTCAGTCGTGAAATTTCAATGGAAGGCGGGGCGTCTGATGCCTCTCGAGTCAGCCACCTGCCATTTGAAGCGCCATTTTAAGGCCGCGTTTCAAATATGTGCATTCTACAGCGTACGATGAAACGCCATCAAGACGCTGTGCTTCAAACCATGTGCATACTATGAACTACTCTGCAGAGTTACCATAACAGATGTCCCCGAAAGGATGGGTAGTCGAAGAGCGGTAGGTTGAACCAGAGCCGTATATGTAGAGTTTGGTCAATGGGAGGCGCGGGCAGAGCTAGGGCGTGCGGCAGACCCGAAAAGAGGGCTTGGCATGCTCTCTTGACCAACCAGAAGCCGAAAAGAATCCCTAGCGCTGGTAGCGAGAAACAGTTCTGATCAAAGGTCTATGTTCGTATATGATTTTAATAAGCGCGTAAGAGTGAAGTGGAGTAACTCTTCGTGGTTGAAAATAGGGTGCACGTGTTGTTTTGATCATGATCACGCAGAAAGATGTAAGAAAACTCTGTTTGAACTCTGTTTGGCGCGAACAGAGTGTGACCGCTCGCACGGCAGATTCCCGGCCCTCGGCGCTTGGCGTACAAATTATGTCGATCGTTCCGCTAGTCGCACTCTTCCACCATCATTTTGGATGAACGTGATTGAAACATCACGTGTACCATATTTTCAGCCATTGAGAGTTACTCCAATGCAGTTATCAGGTTTGTTTCTCGCGACCACCGCCAGGGTATTATTTCCGGCTTCTGGTTGGTCACGTTCGAATTTCTGAAGACGCCCTGGAACACGCCCAGCCCGCTTTCGGCCGATGGCGCCTCCTCATTTGTCTCCTATACTTTCCAACGAATGGCCAAACTCTCTACATATACTGCTCTGGGTTGAACCTGGTGGAATAGAGGGGTACCGCTCGGGGAAGGAGCATCTATGGAAAGTTCCGTTACTTTGATACTGTAACGTTGGCTCCGGTACATCTTAAGGTGAATCGGAGTACAGCAAGCAGTGGACTCCCCCGCGCACTCTTCTAAGTCCATAAGCCAGTTATTTTGCTATTTTGAAGAATCACGACTTCACCATAATCGGAACCCTGAGATAAGGAGAAATAAAATAACGGAAAGACGACTCTTGTTTCAGGGTTTAGGTTATGATGTTTCCTGACCAGCTTACCTGCATACTTTTGCTCCTTGCGATTTCAAGGTTCGCTTGATCTCAGTCCGGTGTTCTTTTGAGTCTGAAGCTTGTTTACACAGAACAAGATGGCGATAGAGATAAATCATCCATTGCGGGGAGTCTTCTCGCTTTCTAAATGAAGCCCGCTACCTTGTCAAAAGCGTGCCCAGATAAGCATTCCCCCCCACGACCGCTTCAGTTGGTCAAATCAAGGTTCCTTGGATACATGCCCGAATCCGATACTGGAACTGCGCGGTAGTGCCCCTTGCCCTTCCTGATAACGACTCCAACAACCGAACGCCTTCCCCCTTCCCGTATCTAAAATAATTTCTCCTACAGACGAATAAACTGGCGGTCTTCCTTTTTTTCTGAGGAGCCCCAGCAAATAATTATTTGTTATGCCATTACTGACTAGGTGTTTAAAGGGGTCACTATTACCGTTAAGCACCATTCTCAAAATCAATCTGCTATCTGGATTCCAAGAATCACGACGCAGTGAGGTTAAACAAAATAAAATATAATGAACATTGAAAGATGACGGGAACACATAGGGGTGGCTCTTGTCTCATTAATATTTTAATTGTTTTGTAGTATAGTTTTATGTGAAGCACTCCTCTATGTGTAAAAAGATTAGCCTGCCTATTAAGGAGATCGTACATGTGCCAATGATCATGCGGAAGTTCACACAATTTGGCAAATAAAAAAAAGTTTCGAACCCTTTCAAAAAAAAAAAAAGACATATATATATATTAAAGGAACTTCAAGTTGGCATCTATCGCACAAACAATTCAATATTACTTTCAATTAAACTATTTTTTGCGTAAATTAGTAACCCCGGTTTCTGAAGAAAAGAGATTTTACGCATATCCAGTATTTCGTGTAATGTTCCGTTACTTTTTGTGGGGGGCAGATATGTTCCAGGATTTACACATGCATTATGCGGTAAGCCTCTGGATAATCGCCGTTATTCATCTACTAAGCGCGAAGGAAATTACATTTTCTTGGTCTTATTAAGTAAGTTATTTCTAACAGTGTACCCCAACCTTTTTTCTCTCGAGGAGGTAGGAGAACAGTAATTCACAAATTGCAAAAGCGCCCTTGGGTGGTTATTTGGCAAGTTAACGTAAATTATTGCGCTATCTGAACTTCGGAATATGAGGTGACGCGCAGGTCCTGTCCGACACTGATGGCGCAAAGCGAGTAGCGGTAAGCACCGTCATCCTTCGCGTGTGTGATATACAGTTAATCTGATCAGCCAGACTGCTTGCTCCGTGGCCTTGCGCTTTTAATCGATGGGACTGGACCTGCCCACCTTCTAGCATTGGACTACGGTTTGACTTACGATGAAACGAAATACACGAGGTATTGACTACACTCCGTCTCACCAAAACCGTGCAGTACAGCCAAAGCTACAGGAGATAGAGTGCATCCCGACCGCTTCAAGACGAGGGAAAGGAGGGACGGGGGAATCCAAGCCCTTCTCTCTCGTTCCTTCTTTCCCTCTCTTTGAACAGGTTGGCATACGCTCTCTCCCCTGTAGCTTTTACTGTACTGCACAGTTTAGTGAGACGGAATCTAAAGACCCTTGATAACACGCGCACTTTGCGCTTTTGCAAATGTCGCGATGATTTGAAGCATCGATCGTATGACCTTTCAGGTTTCAGAAACCAAATGGAGGTGCACAGCGACGTAAAGAGCTTAAAGACGCCATTTTCTCCAGCGCAATGCGCTTCGTCACGCATATTGGTTGTCGTTATCTGTAAGAATAAAAAAGTACGAAGAAAATTTAGTATGGGCTGGATATAAGACTAAAAAATGCGGTGTTTATTGCAGCGTCTTCTGTGCACCCTTGCAGTGCACGTCACCGAGACATAAACGGCCGAGTCGCTGTGCTGTGGAATTATACGCGGCTTTTGATAATCAAAAGAAGAGAGATTGCTAGTGAGCATGCTCAGATCTCGTTCCACGGCCCAGTAGTCAAAAATGGCAGCGAGCAGAAAGCGATCATTGGAATGGACTATTGCAGAACAACTACCACTGACACTAGGCTGCTCGAACACAAAGTTTGAACTGAAGGTTTCTGAAGCGGCCGATTAGACTTCGGCGACGAAAGCACGGCGTCACCGTCGCGAGAGTCCAAACGACTCGCTCGTTAAACTTCGGCCACAACTTCATGTCTGACGAGTTTAGGGCCCCAGGGACTGCAAGTACTCACGGGGTCAAGCCTGGCGTCCTTGAACACGTCGGGGCTTCCGCCCAGAAACCCATCGATGATGTTGACCGCGGATCCGACGCCCGCGAGCGCGCAGAGGCAAGCGCCTGCGAGAAACAACCAACGTCCAAATCCCGCCAATGTCATCTCGATCTACCCTCCGGTTCCGCACCTTCACTGAGGAGTCGCAGGCGTCGGCGGGCTCCGACCAGGAGTTCGGTAAGTCCCATTTCGCGAGCAGCAATTCTCTTGAAGTCACGCTCACATCAGCCGCCCGACTGTGTCGACCAGCTGGCGAACAGTCAATAAACAGAGAAAGCGAAAACAAAAACTGACGCTAGTTGCGCCGATGTGGCCCCTTTCCAACTCGATGACGTTATCTTGCGGCCGCGAAGGAAGAGGGTAGATTCCTTGTCTCGGGGGCGCGTGACGTCATCGACCAGTGTTGACAGACACTTAACACGGATAGCGTTCGGGAAGGAAACGACTTTCTTCTACTCCGCACACGGTTTCGGTGCGGTCACCCACATACATTTGTTATGTCGACTGCTACGCTCCGTGTCAAGGACACACCGCCGGCCGTCTAACGGTGCCGCAAGCTTGCCTCTTGAAAATAAAACTGGGTCGAGAAACTGAAACTAGAGACGCGATTGGTCGAGTTAGAACGCATGGGAAGGAGGGTGGCTTATCGGTAGCTCCATTGAGGAATTCCTGCCAAGCGCAACTTCGCGGAGTAAGGGGTTAGGCGCGCACATAGTGTGTCGCCGGAACAGATCCCACTTATCAAAAGAGCGACAGTTTGTACTCGATCGTAGGTTATCAGCCCCGAGGCGAAGCACTCGCGACCACTTGATAAAAATATATTACGTATTTTTCACGATAAAAAAAAAAAAAACAGTTTTCCTTTCTTTTCTTTTTTAAATTTAGATGCTGCGTCTTACAAATGTGAGGTATATGTCTTTCCTTTCTGTAAGTACGAATCTTGCCTTCATAACTTTGCGAGTTAGTTAAATTTTCTTTCGTTCGATTCCGGTTGGCAAGAATACTGAAACTGGCTTCCCCCTCGAGAATAATATACCTAATATATTGCGATCACAATCCACATATGCGGTCTTATTAACGCGGTTTCGACCGCACCCACCGAATAAATACATATACACACCACAATAAAAACGTATATTCTTACACCCCTTGTCACACATAATCTCCCGCAAAGCTTCAGTTTGACGTACAGCGCACTGACGTAAACCTAAGGTATCAACTTTAACGATCAGCTTGATAGCGGGGTCATACAGTGAAAGAAAGAACGTAATCGGGGTTTTCTTGGCCCCACTGCTAAACTTCCGTGTTTTTTTTTTTTTTTTTTGTAGTTTTTGATACGTACTTTAACCGTTGAATACATTACATCCCACCGTTAGCAAGCCTTTCGTAAAAGCTGGGGCCGTGAGTTCGACGTTAGTGCGCTGTCCGTCGAACTTAAGTTTTGAGGTGTTTTCTTTGTGAAAAAGAATGCAATGGTAACACCTTTTATTTTTAGGGTAGGTTTCACTTATATATTACTTTTTTCGTGAAAATGGCCTCTTAATAAGGGAATTCGACATAGAGACGGGAAAAATACGGTAATCGTTTTACGCATGTGCGTTCAGTAAAAAAACAACTCCTTCGTGAACAAGGTCAAAAACGGGAACGAAGCAAAAACAGCGTGCAAACGTAATACATGCACACACGTCTCATAAAAGAATACGACGCTGACCAGAATCCGTGGCCTTCCCGTGGAGATCGCTCATCCGACCGCAGTCAGATAAGGAGCTTCGTTGTGACGACAGCCGCGACAATGGAGAGCGCGGCGTCGCTCTGCCGTGGTAGAACCAGCGCGCTCGAGTTGCGATTGTACGGCACGTGACGTGCCGCCGCATTGGGCGGTTCTACCCTGAAAACGGCGCTGACAAAAGATTTGGCATTTACACTACGTTTTGGGCCTAGCACCCCACAAAGACAGCGCACAAAGGGGGGTTGACGATGGTTGGATGCATAAATAGCTCGCAGTTCGAGTGTCATGTTCGTGCTCTTCCAGACACGTTGAGCCTGAGGCAAATTGGAGAACTTCGTTTGATAGAACAAACTATACCGAATTGACTTAGCACTAATCAACGTTTAAAAGAACGCTTCGTCGCCAGTATATAAGTGAATGCGTCAGCGATGCGAAGGTTGCATGAATAAAAAGACAGGACAACCAGTGGCGAAAATCTTGTGATTTGCCTCAAAATCGGTTGAGCACATTAGTAGGCACATGTGAAATAGTGACGTAAGCAACAAGTCACGATTGTTTTGTTTTTTTTCCTAGCAAATTCATTATTTGTTTTTGTTTTTGTTTTTGTCAATATTTGTTTGAGATTCTGAGAGGCTCTACTAGAAGCACTGAAAACGTTACGTCAAATGTTGTAATTCGGAAAATGCTGTTTTTTCTCAACGTGCCATGAGAAATTTGATGGCGTAAAGTGAGTGCTGGAAAAGCCAACATGAGCAAAACAAAGGAAAATACGCAAAATACGTTTTCGTAGTCTGCTTCATCGGCTCTCTAGCTGAACAACATGTGACGTCACCCCTAAGGAGTACTACTAATATTTTAATATTGACTTTGGCATACAGTTTATTCGATTGCATTTTTGTATTTTGAGAAAGCTATTTTTAATTTAGTTTAAATAAATCACATCTCGGGATAAGAAAATTATGTGTATTCCATAAATTAGTTTAGTTTGGCTTAGAAGTATGCGCTTGATCGGTTAACCTACCAATTTTTCGAGTCTTGCTTTCATATCGATGATTTTTGCTTTAACTGGTCAATCGGCAAAATTTTGACGAACATAAAGAAAAATAGTAAAAACTTCAACTTTCTCACCAAGGTGACATGGACGAATACATATGTCTCAAGGCAAACCTTAGGTGAAATTTTCACCTAAGGTAAACTGTAGGGGTGAGATTTGTAACTCCAAGCGAGTCAAGAAGGTTATATGTTTCCCAGCCACTTCAACACCGTGCGAATGTCCTTTTAGCGCACCGGAGACTTTTGCGAACAATCAAGGTAGTTTGCTATTGCCGAAGGATATAAAGAAGCCTCTTTGCCTCCGCGGTTGATGTAATAATTTGAGAGTGTAAATGTCTTTTTGGTGCTCTCAACTACGTATTGATTATAAATTCGAAATTGTACATTGCCCCGCAAAGTTGAGGACACAACAGCAAGAGTAAAAAATAAAATGCCGACATTTTTAAAACTATTTGGAAGGCAATTAACACAGCCGATAAATCGATTCAAGGGTAGCGGTTATTTAGGTTAATTTTTTTTATTGTCACCCAGCCTTAGCTTGGTACTCATAAATATCGCCTGGACACATCGGTTGGCGTGACATGCCGATGAATAGATTTCCCATGCACCACGACTTCATCTATCTTCGAGGCTCCTGCCTTAATCATGCCTAAAGGCTGGCGTATTCTCGTTCAGTCTTTGACCTTATGGCGAGCCTGGTTTAGTCAGATCTCGCGTATGTTGTCTTTGAGACAGGTACTATATTTTCGGCCGGTCTACAGACGTAGTATGATGCTGTAGAGTTAAGAATGTTTAATTTGTGGACAACCACACACTGGAACTACCGTTTATTCCTCTTTGAAAACAGCTCTTCAGTAACCATTACACTGTAGGTGGGTCACAGTGAAGAAGGTGACACCTGCCAGCTTTATAGTCAAACTGAGAGACCAAAAAACACCGCCAGCATGAACAGTGACTGTTGATTCTCAAAGAATACACATCGACTTGCTTTTTGTACCATTTTGTCCGAGCCCATTTTGTTCTCAACAAAATATTTCCTGACTAATCTACCCTCCAAGAAAATTGATCTAAGTAATTCATTATTTCTAACAGTTCCATTCGCATAAGTCAAAGCACTGCACAAAGCCGGAATCTGGAAATCACTACACAATCATATACGCGTAGGCTTAAAGCACAAGTTCGCGACGCACTTAGCGCTTAATTGGACAAGCCAGTGATGACATAGACACAATGAGGTTGACGAACGCCATTGGTACGTTTTGTTTTCGCCACTGCTTGATTGGTCTTAACAGCCGGTGGCGTCGGCTGCACGTTCAAACGTAGTACAGGTGTGGAATAAAGAAAGTCCCATCTTGCGGAAGTACATTTTTGATTTTTAATTAGCAAAATGGAGCTACAAGAAAACGAACGCACATAATAAATCGAAGGCACCATCACGCACATGCTATAGATATTTATTATAGAACGCCCTCTTTTGCCAGCGATGATTGTGCCAAGTATTACACACGTGGAACTTGTACAATATTGATACTATATAGTCCTCTATTCTCGTTGACTGAGCTACTGGCATACAGTGTGTTTTAATCAAATATATGAGCGTTATAATGCTAAAATATTTGTAACCTAAATATTCAGTACAGCATTTTCGCCCTTAAAACTTTACACGCGACCCCAAAAACTATATTTTGGTACAGTTCTTCTTCCGCGAAAAACGTGGAATGTGAACGAATGCATTTCACGAGGGTTGGAAAACGAATGAAGATCAGTCCCACATAAAATCTTGACCCTCCAGCTGCTGTCTGCTTAGCATGACACTAAGGTAGACATTTTATACGTTTACTTATGTTTTACAGTGAAGGCTTCCAAGCTGTAGATAAGCATAAGAAACAGTAAAAACTGTTCGATTGATATGTTCTGTCATTCAGTAAGTGTTTTACTGAATATGCGAGGTGCACATAAAATCGCATTACAAACATATTAGAGAGAATCTGTGTGGTGCATGTTCATGATAATACATATACATTACACTGTAAGTAGTAAACTTTTCATTTATAATATTGATCTTCGCTAGAGGTGCCTCATTGACGTAACAGGTTGTGTGACATGATAATGTGATTCCCCTACGAAGGAGCGCAATGCCTGCCAGCCCCCTGTACCAAACATCACTTGGAATATCCTGAAGTCTTCCTGCTCGGTGGCTCTGTTTCTCCCTAATACCCATGTCCCACTAGAGCGACATACAAAAACAAAAGACAAAGACAAGCCTCAAACCAGAGTCTTTCGCTATTTGAGACGCTTTGTAGAGTAACAGAGGCTATGCTCA